TGGCGTCGGGTCTGAAGAAAAGAAAGAGAAGGGCGGGGCAAACGAGTGGTGGGACACGCCGATTTCTTCTTTTGGAGGGAGTTTTGTTGATGTTGTAAAATTCTTCTTTTGGAGCGAGCAGCACGGGGTGAGCCTCTCGCGCAGAGAGCAGCCAGCGCCCCGCCGTGTGCCTCTCCACCTCGAGCGCCGGCTGCACTCGGCACGCGCGAACGCCTCTCAACCCCCCCCCCCTCCACCCACCCACCCCACCCCACCCTGCCCCGCGCTTCTCGACCTTCTTGGGCAGCAGCTGATTCGACAAGTCCTCTCCGTGGCCTAGTCTAGGTAGGCAGCCAGCCGCACTCGCCCCTGCCCCAGCCAGCCAGGCAAAACGGTGCCGTCGGCGGTGAGGGCGAGACTGTGGACGAACGCAGCCGACACAGCGACGACGCGCCGCCCAGCCAAGGCCTCGATCTTCTTCCTGAACAGCCGCTAGTGCCGGGCTGTGCGAAAAATAAGAGGGCTCCCGCGGCGATCAACACCGCAACTCCTTTTCTAAATTTCACCACGCTTCTTACGCACGAGGCGCATGCGTGCAGCGGCAGCGCGTGCGCCATGCGCTCGTCGCTCCACTCGCCCAGCAGCCGCCGCTTCGTCTCGTCGGAGACGTGCACGCAGCGCTGCAGCAGCGCCGCCGTCTCGTCCTCGGGCCGCTCCAGGTCCATGACGACGTTCGTCGAGGCGTGGAAGCGCGTCTCCAGGTCGATGGCCGCCTGCTCGGCCGCGGCGAGCTTGCCCTGGTCGACGCACATGCCGCACACCGCGTGCGCCGGGCAGCCGCACTGGCCGCGTTGTGGGCGCACGGTCTTGGCGACCGCCGGCGCTGCGCGCCGGTCGTGCTGCTCACGCTGCCGGCGGCGCTGGTCGCGCGCCTGCCGATCGCGCGTGTTCGCGGCGGCTGCATCTCTTGCTCGTTTCGCTCGCACCCGAGCGGCTGTCGCCAGGCGCTTCAGTCGGCGGTGCTGCGCGCGCGGCCGTCGGCCAGGCACAGCCACATGTCCTCCTCCTTAGCAGGCTCGCACGGCTTGCCGTCGAACTGCGGCTGGCGCCCGCGACGATGCTTCGCCCAGGCCGGGCACGATGGTGCCGCGACGAGCGGCGTCGAGGCGACGGCCATCGATGGGTCCAGAAGACTTGGAGACACTTCTACCAAAAAATCGAGCACAATTGCGTTACATGGGCATGGCCGGGGTTTCTGCACCGAACGATCTTACTTTCGGTCTATCGAAAGTGTTGATCGATAAAGAAAAGGTGCTCATGGTCCTGCAAGGCGCCCGCCTCAATTCCGCTTCCTGTCAGGACATCCGAGCGAACCTGTGACAACTGTGCGTGCCTCCCACGACTTGCCTCTCGCATT